ATGTGTGTGTGTGTATATATATATATATATATATGTATATATGTATATGTGTGTGTGTGTGTGCGTTTCTCTCATGCGCACGCGCTCTCTCTTTCTCTCTCTCGCAGTCTCACTCTGTTTCTTTTCTTTTGACTTTCCTAAAATGACAGATGCTGAATATATACTGCCTATCTGATGCTGTGGCTGTTTGTGGTTGGCTGAGAGTGATGTGAACTCATTAGTTTGCAGCTGTGTGTTGGGTTTCCATTACGCGTGCCAAACGGTGCCAGTCCCTTTTGATCTGACATCAGATGTGACGGGACAGTCAATATAGAGATACATTTATGTGCTGATTGCAGATAGTTGCATTGAATAGTGGTTTTTGTGGGTATTTATTGCATCGTCAATGTGCCTGACATTCTGGAGACCTGCCTGTGAGGTTTTGGTGACGTGTGCGCACTCTCCGCTGGTCAGCCAAACTTCCACTACACCGGCTGCCCTCCCCCTGCGTTGACAGTAGACCTGGTTTCAGCTGGCGAGCTTTTAGTGCACCTTCGGTGAAGCCTTTTGGCATGAAACTGTCACTGCGCCAAGCTGGATCTGTCGACACCTCCCCTTGCTGTGCCGCCACACCCATCTCAGCACACCTCAGTCTGCCAAAGTACCAAACTGAGCACGCCTTGGGTTGGGCTGCTCGAAACTAGCTCTGCGAGGGGTTCGCCACCCTGCGCCACCTTGCAACGCGCCGGGAAACTAGAGCCCTATATGTTGAAAGCAGAAAGTTAGGATGGAGTTAGACATTAGGACCTGACTTTCATGCAGGATACAGGAGTTTGTGTTATATTACAGATCTGAAGTTACACTGGCCTTAAATAACATGACCACGATCTTTCCCTAACCTTAACCATACCTAAGTTGCCTTGCACAGAGATTGTCGAAAACATGGATTTTAAAACCTTTGTAATAGATGTTGAAAAAACGAATCATTGAATGTAATCTGGGTTTTGTCAAATCAAACAATATCAGCAGTGTTGTCTGCTGATAGGATCAGAAAAATGGCATGTAAAAAACATAACCATAACATTATTGGATAATCTATAAATATCAATATCACTTTTCACTTTCAAAATGATGGTGTGTGTGTGGGTGTGTCTGTTCCACGTTTTTCTCCTCACTGACTTGATCAGTTCATGTGAAATTTGGCATAGTGGTAGAGGGTGGTGGGAGGATGCGAATGAAGCAATATCACATCAATTGGCCAAAGGGGGCGCTATAGCAACCGATTGAAATTGCAAACTTGGGCATATCTCATGTCATGTCGTAGAGACATGAAACTTTGCACAGAGATGCCTCTCCTTATGAGGAACAAATTTGCCTCAAGAACCCATAACTTCTGGTTATATAGATTTTCCGCCATTTTGAATTTTTTGAAAAACACTTAAAATCAATCTCTTCCTAGGAAGTTTGACCAATGTGCATGAAACTCGGTGAACATAATCTAGGGACCAATATCTAAAGTTCCCTCTTGGCAAAAGTTGGAAAACTTACTACCACTGAGCTTCTATAAGGCAATGACTTTAACTATCTGCCTTTCAAAGTGCTACCTCAAATGTACAGTTTTAGCCCACTAACTATCCCACTATTGGCAATTTTACTACTGTACTTTCAATAAAGCAATCGTACTATCAAATTCACAAAAACTCTGTCTGAATACATTGCTCTTCTTAATGGGTTGACTTGACTATTTAATCTGCAGTTTCCTATGACCTGTACCCCAAACACACACCATGTGAAACTGTACATGGCCAACTGTGCACTCAATGGGTATGGACTAGTTGTTACTAAAACACAGATGGCTGTAGAATTTCTTCAGTGATAACAAAGTTTTGGAGGCTTTAAGTTCCACAAAGCAAATTTTATTTACCTCCATTATCCTGGTGTAGTGGTAGGACCAATGGACAAATTCAACCAAAACAAACCTCATCCCAACTGAGGGAAAAGAACTTGTGTTTTTTTTTTGGTGAATTAGGTGAACTACATATTACATTAAACAATACAAAATTGGGGAACAGTCATTTTTTAAGAGACATGATGTTTTGGTGTAAACATATTTTGATGTACATATAGGGTTTCATTTCTTGAGATGGTATTTTTGCAGTTTTCTGCATCCAGGGCTTCCTCCTCTAACCAAACCATCAAGAGGGGTGCTACTCAGCATTGTCTGCGGCTTTTGGTAATTACAAGATTAGGAACAGAGTTAAAGCTGTATGTAACCGTGCTCCAACCAGTGACTCAATGAAAAGTAGCTGCATTTCACCGAAGTGCCTCAGTCAGTCCACACAAACACAAATGCACATTATCTCCTCATCTTTTTTTCCAGTATTAAAGGGACAGGTCCGGGGTGTCGGTGGATTAGTGGATAGAGCAGGCGCCCCATGTACAAGGCTGTTGCCGCAGCGGCCTGGGTCCGACTCCAGCCTGTGGCCCTTTGCTCCATGTCATTCCCCCTCTCTCTCCCCCTTTCACACTTAACTTTCCTATCAATTGAAGGCAAAACTGCCCAAAAAATATATCTAAAAAAAAAAAAAAAAAGGGACAGCTCCAACCTGTTCTCATTCTCAGGACGTCAAATACTGATACATTGTCACGCTCCTCAGTGTGTGATATTGATGCCAAAGGCAGCCTTTAGTGTCTTAATGAGACACAATGGCCTGTCAGCTAAGTCCAGTGTGAACCCATCCATGGCAATAGTTGACGCTCAGAGCAATGATGTAGTATAAAGAGCGACAAAGTCCAAACAGGGCGGGCAGGGGGTAAACTAGATGCTCTTCTTTACACTGAAGATTCTGAATAACTTCTTTAGACTGAAGAGTCTGAGGAACTTCTTTAGACTTAATAAAACTGAAGAATTTCCTCAGACTCACTGAGGAGTCTGAAGAAGAGTGTCTAGCTCAAAACAACATTTGTGGATGTGCTAGTAAATTACACTTAGGGGAGCTACAGTGTGCAGACTTTTTTCACGTTGTTTATTGCCATTCTGTTTGTCCAGCATCTGTCTCAAATGTTTTTTGGATGTACACATCTGCTATGTCTTTTATGATGTTTTTTTCTAAGCCTTTCCAAGTATTTTTGTGCCAAAAGCTAAATGTGACTGATTCACAACATTAACCAGCTGTCACAATGTATTTTAGCTCTGTGGCCTTCATGTAGCCATGAGATGCAGAGGGGAAGTGACAATTTGTCTGTATTTGACAATCTGCAATGAGAACAGGTTTACAGTTCACTCCAAAATCAAACATACAATTTTTTTCTCTTACCTGTAGTGCTGTTTATCAGTATGTATAGTTGCGGTGTGAGTTGCTGAGTGTTGGAGATATTGCCCGAAGAGAGTATCTGACTTCTCTCCAATATAATGGAACTAGACGGCACTCGGCTTTAGGTGCCCAAAAATTTGAAAAACTCAACAGCAATGTCTCTTTCCAAAAATCGTAACCTGATTACACAAGATAATCAACAGACCTTGCTGTAAGCAGTTTCATTTAGGAACCATTTCCTGTCTACGAAACTTTACCTACCACCCACCCACCATGCAGAAGGAAGTGCGCATCTACTTTAGGACAGGAGACTTGTGCTCATGACAGCATGGAATGTAAATATTAATGGCTTCCTCCTTACGTGAGCTATAACATTAGCTAGCTCCTGCTAGCAGTATCAGTCTGTTAGTTAGAATATTATTTTTGCTATTTGTTATTGCTGGTGGCTAACGGACTGTCAACTATGGATTCGTGTTCTGTTCATTTCCAGTGTTGGGAAAGTCACTTTCAAAATGTAATATATCACATATTACCAGTTACTTTTATTTAAAGTAACAAGTTAGTTTACAATACTGTCTGGGTTGGGGAATGTGCTTCATATTACTCTACTTTTGCCTTACTTCATCCATAAAAACCTTAGAAGTACAGCAGGTGATCAAAGCACAAAAGCTCACCCAGTCATCCATTCACATGCAGTGGTTCCCGCTTAATATTAAAATCCCCTCTTATATTAACATGGGTATGATGATACAGAACCATTAAATGGCCTGGTCCTTTTGAAATAAATACTTAGTCTACAATAGCACCAGCGAGAGAGTTGTGTAAAATACGAGGAGGGTGCGTCAGCCTTGCTTTACCATTGCAGGCGCCAGAAGTGGCACGATGGATGTGAATGAATGAAAAAAACAATACAGGCCCCACAAGCTTGGTGCCATCTAGTGCCATTATATTGGAGAGAAGACAGCCGATATCTCCAACACTCAGCAACTCACACAAAAATAATCTAGACTGATAAACAGCACTAGAGGTAAGAGATAAAATATGTATTTTTGATTTGGGGCTGAACTTTGAAAGTCATGCAAAGCCACTTCACTACTCAGTCAGTATGGACACAAATAGCCTTCATTTAAATCATACATTGTAACTAGAAGTTACGCCTTATTTTCATGCAATTCATATTACATATCGGCTGTTTGCTGTGATTTAGAGACAAGAAATATGAAAAAATGGCACAAATAATGGCTGTGTTGAAAGGAATGCACAACATTTTTTTTTACATTGTTTCCCACAGGTTAACCATGGCAATATCATCCACTAGCATCACCATTCACACCACTCCAACATTACCACAGATATATGCTGGAGTGAAGCACAAGACATCTGGAATTTTCAGGTGACCTTGGCCATTAGAACCATGGACTCTTGGATTTGAATATTGAACTGTGTACACATTATACACATTCAATAATGTGTTGGAACAAGCAGATGCAGAATACATCTGCGGTAATAATTGGGTCAAATGAGTGGGTGTATTAAGTTGAAAAATGAGGTTCAAGAAATTTTTGCCAACAAAATGCTAACATAATCCTAGTAAACTATAGATAGCACTGATGCATTGCTTTGCATGTCATTAGTAACTGCCGTTACCTCCCATGGTAGTTGCTAGTTGGGGTTAGCCTCATTTGTGACCCATTTGCACCCAGTATGTTACTCTGTGGTCTGGTCACATAGCATTCCCTATGCAAACCTTAGGGGAAAAGCCAAAACATTTATCTTATGTTTTTTAACCCAAGGCAAAATGTTCTCATTCTGGGCCAGTTGTAAATATATGTGAGACCACAAAAATACATTTAAAGGTTTGTGTAGCAAGCTCCAAATCCTGATGTAACATACAAGATACTAAGGTCCCAAAACAGGCCGTCTTGGGGTTGGTTGTCAGTCTGATACCATTTACTGTGTTTTACAGTTGTTGCTAGTTCTGGGTTTATGACTGTAGTCTTATTTTTCATACAGTTAACGGAGTAAAATCACTAGCCAGGAAAGTAGGGCTGGGTATAAACCAAAACGTTTGCGCTGCACTGCCATACTGAAATCTGTACTGAAAGCTGACATCAAATGTGTAGTCAGATCCATAATCTTCTTTACTTCTCTTTGGTCCAGTAGTTCCTGATTTCAGTCCAAACTTTGATGAAAAAAATGAGGGCAAATGCACACCTACTGGAAACACTGGCTTGCAGGCATACATTAAAAAAAGAAATGGGAAGTTTGTACACTCATAACTCAATTTGGCAAACTGCCTTCTGTAGCCAATTTTACTTTTACAAAGTTCTTCTTTGGCTGCTTATGTCGGAACAACTTTTGGCATTTAAAATGTATCATGTGTCCAAAATTCCATATTTAGGTCACAAGATGGCACATGAACATGGCACTGTTTAAAGGGCAGCACAAAATCTAGTAAGTGGACCTTTAGTTAATATTATTTTGTCAAACTGCTGTACCCAAGATCAAGAATGAACTTTCATGCTCAACATTTGAGTACTGTCATTTATGCTGTAATATAAAAAAAGACAAACATGGTTTATATTTAGTTTTGGTATTATAATAAAATCTCCGGTATCATACTGGCACATATCAAAAAATGTCAATTAATACCCAGCCCTACAACAACAGAACTGAAGGATGAAAAGTCACATTTTATTATTTCATAAAATAAAAATAACATATTTAATATGTAGAACAGATATAAGAACAGATATAATTTTGGACAAATGTCCTTTTTATACTTTCACAAGACATTGGACTGCACACTATGGAAAAAATGTGAACTTTACAGCCTGTACCCTCACCTTTTCACCTCCTACCACAGCAAGTAACAGATGGAGCATCTTAGTTCCATGAAATGCTTGATGCATCTACAACCCAATAGTGTTTTGATTATACCTCAAACACTCATCTTGTTGTTGTGCTCTGAAATTCAAACATGATGATGAAATAGAAGTGTTAAGTTCCCCTTTTACCCTCCTGAATGACAGGACATGAATGGAGACAATATTTTTCTAGGTTATGTGAAAGGTAGAGTTGAATGTGTCAAAACATTTATTGAAGTTTCCTGTTTGTATCTTGTGAAGGTTTGTGGTTTTACAAAACCGTTGTTTTTTTTTGTAATCATAGCACTTTTTGTAAACTGAATGCCTTTATTTCATCCAATACCTTTTGTTTAAAACCTTCATTACAAATGTATAGATGATATATTTAGCTCTTTTAGAGAACAATAATATTTAAATACAATATAAAATGTTTTATTTTTACAGGTACAATTCTGACAGTGTTTTTCCTATCAAAGTGTCATTTTTGCTTTACTTGCACAAGTGTTCTGTGTATCTCATTGAGGGGTCTTTTAAAAAACAATGCATGTTAATCACATATATTTGTTGGCCGAATTTCTCAGAAGGCCTTCTTTGACTATTCTAGGTCTGAGAGCACAGACAATAATAAAGCTTAAATGGACAATTATATAGCACTTATATCATTTTTTTGTGGGTTGTTTAATTAGATGTTAAAAAGACAAACAAGCTATACTGTATGTTCAATAACTCCAAGGGTGATTTTGTCTTCTTCTATCATCCTTTGACCTCAGTGTGACAATATGGAAGAATATTACTTGATTTCTTAGTGGTTTCTGCCTGAAAGCTGGTTGATGAACATACATTTTTCAATCAGTTGATTGCAGTTTCAACTTCATGTATAATTTCAATGAACTGTATGACAGAATCTGAGGATTTCATGTGGGGTGAATACAAGCAATTAACTGTGCATGGATCAAAGTTGACCAAAAATAATTTCTATCCATTGGAGAAAGTAGATGCAGATTTGGGGTGTGGTATCAGATCAAGTTCAAAATTCTAAAGCTAATTTAACTGCCCAAGAAAAAACAGAATGTCTCCCAAATCCATTTGGTGAGTGGGAGACAGGAGATGCTCTTCAGTGAGAAGCACAGACCTTTAGCAATTCATGTCAAACTTCTTTATAAGCTTCAGTGGTACCAGTGAACTTTCTTGAATGTGTATGTAAGAAACACTGCAATATATTTTTGGTATTGGTTCAAGCTGCTAACGTACTTCTAAAGCTCCTTAAGGTGCTACAGACCTCTTCTCTAGTTCTTAAATGTATCATTTGTACAAAGTATCCAGTTCAGCTGAAAAGCTGGCATGTGTACCTGGTTGGACTTTATAGCTACATATATTTGTATTGTACTGTGACTTTTGACCCCCCCACCCACACCTTCCCCAATCTGGGGAATTGAAACATATTGGGAGATTGTTCTGGATGATATCACTCAGCAGAGATGAAGACATTGATGATGATGTTAAAAAACAAGTCTATGTGACTCTATTCAAAATGTGCTGAGGTAAATCTGAAACAAACTGCATTCCAGCCATGTTGGTTTTGTTATTGCAACAATGCCATCCTGTGACAATGATGCTAATTTCAATGTTTCACTTTAAATCTATTTTACATACTACTGTTGTTTTTGTTATTTTTATACATATAGGCAAAGTAATTCTCTCTCTCTCTCTCTCTCTCTCTCTCTCTCTCTCTCTCTCTCTCTCTCTCTCTCTCTCTCACACACACTCACACACACACTCACACTCACACACACACACACACACACACACATACATATGTGTATCTATATATTATCTATATCTATATATAGCTATGTCTATATGTGTGTGTGTCTGTTTATAGGTTGTGTAAAATAAAACTGAATGCTGCAGCTTTTAAATGTTTTTTAACAGTGACATCCAAAGAGGCAGATTATTTATTGTCTGGCAGAATAACCTGATTTGATTTACATATCTTGCTGCTATGAGTGAGAAGAGCTGCAATTGTCAACTCCAGTGTTTTTACACAATGTAATGAAAGTTCAATAAACACAAAAGAAGGATCCAACTGTAGGCCTTTTGGTCATTTCTAAAAATGTGTATAAACTGTAAATCTGTGTAAATTCATGTTTATGTTTTTTTTTTGTTGTTTGTTTTTTTTAGCCTTTTCATACAGCGTCAGTCCTCGTACATTCTCGGAACCCATCAGCTGTATTCAGCGTCTGACTTCCGGCAGACGGCGATACAGCTGTAGAGTCTGTATATAGACACTAGTCCTTGTAGAATTACTTTACTCTGAGACTCAGATACCAGGGACATTTAATGTGCTCAAAACATTCAGTCTTTTTTATGGTCAAAACTATCCAGACAAAATGTGTGCAGCCTTAAAGAATGCAATGAGAGGGAATTATACTATGCTTTAAGGTGAAACTGGTTGATTGTTAAATTCAAAACCTAATCTGCACCTGCGAATATACTGAAATATCACTGTAACAGTGGTTTGTGCTGATACTGTGATGGTTACAGCAAAATTAATACTAGACCAATACCTATCCATCAGGTTTAGCGGCTGAGCTGGATAAGCCAAATCAAGTCAACTTTATTTATAAAGCACTTTAAACACAGAGTTTAGCCAAAGAGCTCTTACAGTACAAACAGAGAAAGGCAAAAACAAAAGGAACGAGAGAAACTACAATTTGAGTGATAATAGCAATAACATAACATGCTGATAACATGATAGCATATCATTACATTATTATTGTACCTATAGTAAAAACTGTATTCTTGTTTTTTTTTTTTTTATTATATTATATATTTTTTTTTAATTTTTAATTGATTTTACATACAATAGCCACAACATTTTGTTTCAAGTCCATTCCTCCTTCATATTTGTGGCATATTAAATAAAACACACAAACAAACCAAAGACAAACAAACAATACCCATAACACAATACCCATAAACAAGGGGAAAAAAACAGTGATAAAACTACAAAACAAAATCCAAAATAAACTCATAGGATGGGATGACATAGTTCATGTCTCTCGAGATTCTGCACATATCTGTGTATACACATATACATCTTTATCTGTGTTAACATTTTATTTCCCACTTTCATTTGTAATCAAGTTCAGTCCATACTCATGCTAAGTTAGTAAAAAAACAAAAAAAAAATAAGAGAAAAAAGAAAAAAAAAAATCATCAAATCAGACTGCCCCAGGCACTCTCCAATTCATTGTGTCATACCCTTTACGGATTGTGTCGCTAAGGTCCTTGGGCAAGTAATTTATTAGTGGCTGCCATATCTTAGTAAAGTTGTGCTCATTTCCTTTGAGTTTAGCACTTAATCTTTCCATCGGCATTATTCTAAAGATTTCTCTATACCAGTGTTACTGATGGCGGTTCTTCTTTAATCCAATTTAGAAGTATACATCACCTTGCTAAACAAAGAAGTTTCTTTAATAACTTATATCTTTGAGTATCTATAATTTGTTTTTTTGACGGCAGCCCTAATAAAAACTGTCCGGGATCTTTACAGATCTTACATTTCAAAATTAATCTCAATTCTTTAACGATACCGGACCAAAATATAACAGTTTTTGAGCATTCCCACAAATAATGCATATAAGAAATTTTACACTTGGTACATATGGGAGACTTGCTGGAATCAATTCTACTTAAGATATGTGGTGTTATATGTTGTCTGTGTAGTATCCGGTATTGCATTTCTTTTAATCTATTACATAAAAACAGAGAATGAACTTCTTGGATACATTCTTTCCAATTTTCTTTTTCATAGCTCGTTTGAAGGTCCTTTTCCCATCGATCCATCACTTTATCTATATTTCGCTGGTCGTCGTTCACGAAATTATCAGTATGAAATGAACCCTTTATTTTTCTTATATTGTATGACAGATTTCTCAAATGGCCCTAACAATGTCTTGATCTGAGAAGATTTATCAGTTGCATTAATAAAGCTATGAGCCTGGAAGTAAGCAAAAAATTCATCTACACCATATTTGTCTCTAACCATTGAAAATTACATAAGAACACCATTATCCTCAAACAGATCTCCTATTATGGAAGCGAATCGTGACTAGTATTTAAATTAAAATGTATTTGCAGAAATGCTTTTTCATTTTAAGAATGTGGCTGCATTATTTGACTCATAAATAAAATTAATCATCAATCATCCAATTTGCATTTTAATTTTCTTCTTCAAGACTGCACATTCTTTTACTTAATTAAAATGAAAAAGAAAAAGTCATTTGAGATTTAATTTTCAAAATATGCCCCAGCAAATAGATACCAAAATTCAATTTGAAATGTAAAATTTGAAAATTAAAATGCATTTACAGAAATGCTTTTTCATTTTAAGAATGTGGCTGCATTATTTCACTCATAAATAAAATTAATCATCAATCATCCTATTTGCATTTTAATTTTCTTCTTCAAGACTGCTCATTCTTTTACTTAATTAAAATGAAAAAGAAAAAGTCATTTGAGATTTAATTTTCAAAATATGCCCCAGCAAATAGATACCAAAATTCAATTTGAAATGTAAAATTTGAAAATTAAAATGCATTTACAGAAATGCTTTTTCATTTTAAGAATGTGGCTGCATTATTTCACTCATAAATAAAATGAATAATCAATCAACCTATTGCATTTGCATTTTCTTCTTCAAGACTGCACATTTTATGCCATAATCAAAAAGAAAACAAAGAAGACATTGCTATTTCATTTTCGTGGTCTGCCCTGCAAAATAGTGACCATAATTCGAAAATGATTTGGCAATCTGAGCGGCGCAGGAGAGTGACGTCAGGAGCCGCTCTTCTTCAGCTGACCATGGTGCTACCCATCTAATACAGTAGGGGGCGGTGTGCACATTTGATATATGGATGCATCACAGATCATGGCGCTCCCTGAGATTGTGCTTTCTAAACATCGTAATTTCCCAAAACTGAATAAATACCACACATAGCAACACAAAACTGCTTTGCTAGCTCAATCATGTTGTAACTAAGATATCTGCTGGAAAAAATAATTTTTTCATGGACTGTTCATTGAGGATACGGAGTTAATACGTCCGCTGACTTGACAGTCATTTAAACTGGTAGCAGGTGCCGTGTCAGTGTTAGTAGGCACTAGGGTTGCTACGGGTTACCTGCACAGCTGTGGGCGTAGGTGGTGATCAGTCACATGTAGGTTAGATAGGGGAGTCACAGTTGATCAGTGTTATGGAATGAGAATCAGGGGAGGCCACACAGTTTTTCAACCATGTCTGTGTGTGTGTCGAGTGAATGGGTTTTCGTTATAATCGTAGTATTTTTGTCCTTTTGCACGAGCTCGTTTTAAGTCTTTTTTACACTCGGCTTTTTGTAGGTGTTTTTAACGTTTTTGTAAGTCAATAAAGTGTTCAAAGTGTACCATGGAGGACCTCGTGTTTGCACACCAACATGAGTTAAAAATGGCTTTGGATTCCCTCAACTGGCATTTTTGTAGTTGGATTGCCGATACACTCAGCTTGAGCTTATACTTTGTAGACATTGTGATTTCCCAAAACTAAATAATAGTCCAGCAACTTTTCCGGAGGAAACCCTGTGACATTGACACGTTAAATAATTTTCATACATACTGCCTTGGTTTGATTCTAACCCATACAATATGGTTGTCGAATATTGAATCTGCTCGTGAAATTAATAAATTATGCACAGCTAAGATTAACTGATATGATATGGAGTACCTATTGACATCAGTGTGTAATAAGCCTGGAGGCCATAGCTAACAAGCTGCAGTCAACAAAGACCCTTGTAAACTTGTATACGTTTCATAGATATATTTACACTACTATTAATTCAGCTTTCAGCATGATCTTGATCATGATAGAAATTAAATTGCATCATGCCATCTTGCTGTTCTGCATTAAATTGTTAAGCAAAAAAATATCCATTGATCAAAGGAATTGTTGGACTGTATGTTTATCTATATTATCTATATATATTTAATATCAATAAATCATTGCATACATAAGTAATCATCTTAAATATTTAGGCTAATATAATTTAGATCTGCCCTGTAAAAGTGTGTGTATAGCGCACTGAATGAGTGTTTGGTGCGAAGATGTTATTACCGCTTGTCATAAGAAAACACAGTGCGCTCACTTGTAAGGTCCTCTTCACACCTAACACTCATTCAGTGCGCTATACACACACTTTTACAGGGCAGATCTAAATTATATTAGGCAGCTTTGTATGTATGAAAATTATTTAACGTGTCAATATCACAGGGTTTCCCCCGGAAAGGTTGCTGGACTGTGTGGTATTTATTCAGTTTTGGGAAATCACGATGTCTACAAAGTATAAGCTATAAGTACAAGTATAAGCTGCTACCAGTTTAAATGACTGTCAAGTCAGCAGACGTATTAACTCCGTATCCTCAATGAACAGTCCATGAAAAAATTATTTTTTCCAGCAGATATCTTAGTTACAACATGATTGAGCTAGCAAAGCAGTTTTGTGTTGCTATGTGTGGTATTTATTCAGTTTTGGGAAATTACGATGTTTAGAAAGCACAATCTCAGGGAGCGCCATGATCTGTGACGCATCCATATATCAAATGTGCACACCGCCCCCTACTGTATTAGATGGGTAGCACCATGGTCAGCTGAAGAAGAGCGGCTCCTGACGTCACTCTCCTGCGCCGCTCAGATTGCCAAA